TGTTCCAAAGAGATGCATGCAACAAGTACAAAAGAGTATTCTGCTGTTAGATGTCTGCTAGACACTGTTTATCACTTCTAAGACCAGTTTAGATAGATATAAATTTGAGAATATATCTTGTTCTTCTGCATGCAGAAAAATTATGTGGGCAGGATGATCTGAATGCACATACAAGAAATAGAGAAACAAGTCTAGAATGAAAAATAATTTGTGGCTCTACCTTTTCTTCGGCATGTATGTGTATATTAACAGCAGATTGAAGTGCCACAGATGAAGGCAGCCTGTCAAAGTGTCTGCAGCCCTCTGGCAGAAAATTGATTTCTCTTGTCACTCAGTTTAAGAGTTCTCATAGCATCCTCAATGATGGTAGAGCTTTTGCACAGCAACACAAGTAATATTGTCTGTCTTGTCTGGATTTGTCCATTTGATGAAGAATAATTTGGCTTTAGATAATCACTGTCCTGCTGTTTCTGACTGGAATATAACAGTGTGATGCATCTGGATATAAAGCTCACAAAGTCCAGTTATTTCAACTATAATGAGTCTCATTAACATGCAGAGTACGAGAAACCTATCAAAATTCTCGTTTCTACTCTGCTTCTTATCAACAATTTTCTGTTAACTGAATTATTTATTCTTTATATACGTTGCAAGGCTGGAATGTCTGCAAGTTGATTTAAAGTTCTGAGGCAGAGACCATGACCAGTAACTCCTATACAGCACTTAGCAGTAAAAAAGTGAATGCCTGTCTCTCCAGTAGTGAGAACTCTAGTGGCAAAGATGGGAGAATTATTTGGAAGCTTCAGATAAAATTAGAGAAAACTCTAGTGGCAAAGATGGGAGAATTAGGCTTCATTTGGTGTGTGATATGACCTAATGTGATCCGTGGAGTTTGTTGGGGTGTTTTTTAACTTCTCTTCTTTGGGGGGGAAAGGAAGATGATTTTATATCATTCATGACCTGTGGAAAGTTTGTGCACTACAATGATAAAAAACATGATGTGAAAATCTAGCATAAAATAAAATGGAATATACTTAAAACATTATCCTCTAGATTATGAAATTCAGTAAGAGGATATTATAAATTGGCATTACTGTGAATATAGGGAGCAATTAAAAGAAAGGTTGTTGCGTGGCATCTCTTCAGCCTGCTGATACTAATGTTGTTGCTGTGCATAAAATTGGATGCATCTCTATCCTGTGCTCATGTTAGCTTTCAAGCTAAACCATAACACAAATTAAAAGATATTAACTGCATTTTGAGCAATACTTACATTTCAGGGTTAATGGACAAAAACTACAATTAAAGAAGTAGTCTTGCCTGTGTACCTGGAATGACAGACTACTAGTCAATAAATGCAGCATTTCAAGGAAAGACTCTTCAGGTTTATTTATTGTAGCTTTGATATGTTATACTCTGTGGTTAATTTATACAGTAGCTTTGAAAGGGATGGTGTTGGAAAATTGCTTCCTTGACAATTAACCTTCAAGGTAGCAGATGTAAGGTTGTAACACTGACCTTGGATTTTCTGTAGCTATAGTGACAGGGAATTTAATTAAGGTATAGTAACCATAAGTGAAACAGGTCTGTATGGATGTGAAAAATTATGGTAGTGTCATTGATTTGCCTGAAAGTGCAGCATCAATTCACCACTTTTGTGCCTGAAAATATGCAAACTTATTTAGTTTCATTAACTACACCCCCCTTCAAACACAGTAAAATATCTTCTGTTATTAGTGTATTTACTGACTATCGCAGAAGAATCTTCTAGAAAGTATTGTCTTTATGAAACATTTTTTTTTGGCTTTTTTTTTTCAACAGCATGCAATATCAGAGACTTAAAAACTCTGACACCTTTTTAAAAACAGACTTCTTGTTAAATAAAACATACAGTTATTTCCCTAATATTAAGTACCCATATTGTAATTTCAAGAGCAGTTTCGTCCACTTCTGTTAATTACTTTTATCTGCCTTGACTCTTGTTCTGGCACACAAAATTCAAAGTAGAAACTCTTGCACTGGTATGTATAAAATGTCTCCAGCAGAGCTTATCTGTGTACTTTATATGACATAAGTATTGGACACTCCTTGTTTCCCTGTGGAAGCAGCTACAATAAATAAAAACCTCTCCAGTAGAAATCTTGAACTTTAGAAAAAATCCCAGAAGATTTTGGTGATAATGATAGTCTGATTAGACTTATCTAAGATTCAGTTTATTCCATTACCGAAGATCACTCACCGGATATACTGGAGACTTTCCATGATGCATAACTGTAGGCATTTTTGTGGTTGGTTAGTCAGGGAAGACAGTTTGTCTCCTGAAGACATTATGGCCTTCATTTTCAGGTCATAAATTTCTTAGGTGTCCAGATAGATGTAGCATTTAATGAAATTTTGGAAGTATTCACCAAGCAATGAGCAGGAAGGGTTTGGTGAAATTTTGGGTTCTTGTTTATTGGCCAGTGTTTCATGAAGAAGCTAACACCAGCTTTGTGAGACTGAGTAGCTAACCTAGAAGGAAAAAAAAAAAAACCAACATAGAATTTTTACTATCTCATCTCAATTGAGCAGGGGTCATACATAGCAATTTTGTAAATGGGATACCATAATTTCATGGAATTGTCTAGGTTGGAAAAGACTTTGAAGATCATCCAGTCCAACCATTAACCTAACACTGACAGTTCCCAGCTACACCAGATCCCTCAGTGCTATGTCAGCTCTACTCTTAAACACCTCCAGGGATGGGGACTCCACCACCTCCCTGGGCAGCCCCGTCCAACGCCCAACAACCCATTCTGTAAAGAAATGCTTCCTAATACCTAGTCTAAACCTTCCCTGGTGCAATTTGAGGCCATTGCCTCTTGTCCTATCACTTGTTACTTGTTTCAAGAGACTCATCCCCACTTCACTGCAGCTTCCTTTCAGGGAGCTGTAGAGGGCGATGAGGTCTCCCCTCAGCCTCCTCTTCTCCAGACTAAACACCCCCAGTTCCCTCAGCCACTCCCCGTACGACCTGTGCTCCAGACCCTGCCCCAGCTCCGTTGCCCTTCTCTGGACACGCTCGAGTCATTCAATGTCCTTTTTGGAGTGAGGGGCCCAAAACTGAACACAGGAATTGAGGGGCGGCCTCACCAGTGCCGAGTACAGGGGTCAGATCCCTTCCCTGTCCCTGCTGGCCACGCTAGTGCTGACACAAGCCAGGATGCCATTGGCCTTCTTGGACCCCTGGGCACACTGCTGGCTCCTGTTCAGCCTGCTGTCAATCAACCCCCAGGTCCCTCTCTGACTGGCAGCTCTCCAGCCACTCCTCCCCAAGCCTGTAGCGCTGCTGGGGGTTGTTGTGGCCCAAGGGCAGCCCCCGGCATTTGGCCTCAGTGAAACTCCTCCAGTTGGCCTCAGCCCATGGCTCCAGCCTGTCCAGGTCTCTCTGCAGAGCCTCCCTGCCCTCGAGCAGATCAACACTCCCACCCAACTGGGTGTCATCTGCAAACTGACTGAGGGTGCACTTGATCCCCTCAGTAAGATGTTAAAGATGCCCTTAAAGGTATCTGTAACTCGATCCCCTTAAAGATGTTAAACAGGAATGGCCCAAAAACCGAGCCCTGGGGGTCACCACTCGTGTCCGGCCACCAACTGGATTTAACTCCGTTCACCACAACTCTTTGGACCCGGCCATCCAACCAGTTTTTTACCCAGCAAAACGTGTGCCCATCCAAGCCACGAGCAGCCAGTTTCACCAGGAGAATGCTGTGGGAAATGGTGTCAAAGCCTTTAATAAAGTCAAGGTAAACAATATTCAGAGCCTTTGCTTCATCCAAGAAGCAGGTCGCCCTGTCATAGAAGGAGATCAGGTTTGTCAGGCAGGACCTGCCTTTCATGAACCCATGCTGACTGGGCCTGATCAACTGGTTGTTCACTATATGACTTTTTGGCACCCGAGATGACCTGCTCCATGACCTTCCCTGGCATGAGGTCAGACTGACAGGTCTATAGTTTCCTGGATTTTCCTTTCTCCATCTCTTGTAGATGGGTGTCACATCTGTCACCCTCCAGTCCAGTGGGCCCTCCCCAGTCAGCCATGACTTCAGGTATATCATGGACAGTGGCTTGGTGAGCACATCTGCCAATGCTTTCAGCACCCTTGGGTGTAACCCATCCGGTCCCACAGACTCGTGTGCATCCCAGTGGTGCAGCAGGTCTCTAACCACCTCCTCTTCAACTGTGCTGACCTCAGTCTGCTTCCCCTCCCCATCTCCCAGCTCATGAGCTGGTGTCCAGGGAACAGCCAGTTCCACTGCTAAACACTGAGGCCAAGTAGGCATTGAGCACCTCAGCCTTTTCCTCATCCTTAGTTACCATGTTCCCCTCTGCATCCAGTAAAGGAGGGAGATTTTCCCTAATCCTCCTTTTGCTGTTAATGAATTTATAGAAACATTTTTGTTATCCTTAACAGCTGCAGCCAAGTTGAGCTCTGGCTGTGATTTGGCTCTCCTAATGTTCTCCCTGCATAACTTCAGTACATCTTTATAGTCTTCATGAGAGACCTGGCCCCTCTTCCAAAGGCAATAGATTCTCCTTTTGTTCTTGAGATCCAGCTAAAGGTCCCTGTTTAGCCAGGCCGGTCTCCTTCCCCGCCTGATTTTCGGCACACGGGAACAGCCTGCTCCTTTGCCTTCTCTCTTGAAGCACATCCAGCCTTCTGGACTCCCATTTCCTTCAGGGCAGCCTCCCAAGGGATTTTGTTAATCCTTTGAATAGGTCAAAGTCTGCCCTCTGGAAGTCTCAGGTGGCAGTTTTACTAACCCCTCTCTTTGTTTCTCCAAGGATTGAAAACTCAATACATTTTGTGGTATTTCTTATGGAAAAGGTAGTTTGGCATTATGACTTTTTTTCCCCAGCTTTGAATGATCACACCACCAATATATTATTTTTTTATTTTCCTGATATATAGGGGGAACACAAAGAGAAAGAGGAAAATAAGACTGGAGAAGTAAGACGGTATCAAGTATTTTCAATGAATACTGTAATTAGGTTAAAAGATTTAAATGAAGTAAATTTATTCTCATTTCAAGCATTCTTTGTACTTTATTGTGTTTGAGGAACTTGATTAAATATGCATCACTTTTCCTGAAGCTGAACTGAAATCAAAATAAGCCTTTATCAGTGTAATTATGCCAGGCTCATACCTAGGAGTTTTGAGGTGAACACTGAATCCTGTTCTGTTGTTTAAAACATGCGTAAAGTAGCATATAATCTGTGTGGAAGACTAATCCTTCATTAATTATATTTGTTTCTGTTAGCTGCTTATTTTTAATCATTAATTATTAAGAAAAGAACAAAGCAACAATCTGTGGAAACTTGACACAATTATTTGTCTCATGAGCTGTAATCTCCTTTTAGTTTCTCTAACCATTAAGGCAGTAAAGGCAATATTAAGTTTAAAAGAATGCTAGTTTCCACTCTTTCTAGATTTCTTTTTAAAATACTTTCTTATTCTAGATAACAGTAACTTGCTGTTACTGATTCACTTTTTTCCTCCTTTGCTCCTGCGTAGCAGAATAGTACCTGTCTGTACGTGACAAACTTGAAGCTTTCTATAAATGTTCGTACATCTCTTGTACTTCAGAACTGGCTTCATGAATGTACTGTCTGAAATAGTGGTTTTCTGTTTTCAGAAATGTCCATTAACTTTTTCCATATGTTTTTGACCGGCATTTTTTTGAGGTGCTCAGAGGCTGGTTGCAATAGGAGCTAATGACTTTCATTTCTAATTAGAGAGATGAAGCATTTTTGAAAAGCAAGTGCTAGGACTGTTCAGAACCAATCTCTAAAATTGAGGGTACCCAATATAGTTTGCTGGTCAGTCTCCTTTGATATGGAAATTGTTTATGTACACTGAAGATAATTTAGGGTAAGTAGAGCAATAAGATCTCCATTTCTGTATTCCATGTCCTGTTCTTTTCTATTTCAATCATCATTTTTTTCTTCATATGCAAGCTTTATAAGTAGTCTAGTTTTCTTTGGACATGCCACGTTAGTGCTTTTTTCGATGTCTTTTTATTACAAACTTAATTTATAAAACATAATAATACAGGAAAATTTAATTCTAGCCTGTAAACAGAACATTAATGAAGTGGCTTGTATCTGTCTTTTCTCAGGGAACATATCTTAAATACTCTTAGCTTTTTTAATTTTAAAACAAATTCAAAACCACCTGCTAATACATGTAGCTGCTTGCATAAAATGACTACTTCAATACCGCTGTTCTTTTTATCATTGCCACACTTCTGCAACAATGGTGTAATCTAATTTATCTAATTTTTCCTTTTTTCCTTAACAGAGTATTCAATTCAATTGTGTCTCCTTGTCTGTGAGAAATACTTTTTTTTTTTTTTAAATTTAAATTTTTGATGGGTTTTTTTTGTGAAAATGGATTTTATCCTTTGGACACAAGTTGTGTCTTTTCAGTAGTCTAAATCCTGGATATTTCTGTACTACAAATTATAATTTGATTGTTTCCAAGTATTCTGAAGATGTTTAGGAAAATACCTAGTTTTAAAATTCACCCTTTTAAACCTTATTTAGGTGCTATATGATAGTGTTGGTATTAAGAATGGATTTCTATCATAGTCATACGTAAAAGTATTTTTTGAGAAAAAGGCTGGCATTAGGAGCTTTCTACTCCTACTTTGAATTTGAATGCAGTAGAGCAATATAAAAGGAGTATACTAAGGTTTCATCATGCAACAAATTACTTTGCATCTGTTCTGAATGGAGTCATGTGTTGGTTTTAAATCCAGTGTTCACTGAAGTGCTGGTCACCTATTAAGATAAAAATAAAAATACAGAAGTTGAAAGTTCTGAGTGCAGGAAGACAGTAGAGTTTATAAAAATTCAGGGCTCGATGCCATACAGTATAATTATTTTTTAGGCAATATATTTGTACTGAAGTAAAAATGGCATTTATAAACACTCATAACTCTTGACAAAAACTGTGTAATATTGTAGTTATTTTTGCACGTTACTATCAGCTATAAAGTGTATTTTGTCTTTAGAACAATCAGGGTAGTCTGGACATGTATTCATTCCTATTAAGCGATCATATGGGAAGAGGCTGACATTTTTAGTAGCAGAAGAGCTTTGATATGCTGATGAACTGCAGAGAAGATACATTTATCTCCGTGTTTTTGAGTCATCTTTAGTAAGCTAACTTTGGAATTATTTGCCTTTGTCTTTCTTTAATGCAGCACTGACAAACTCTGCTAGGCAAAGCTGTTGTTTTTCTAGTTCATCCAGGCATCATTGCCTCTGCAGTGGTCTCCATGAGGAGACACTGTGTACTCCAGGAGTACCAGTGCAAAATCCCTCCCTCTTTCAGCACCAAATCACATCTTAGGTTGGTTTTGCTGAAAATTTTAACCGACGATGTCACTTTCATTGCGTTATGAGTGAAGCTTCGAGTACTTTCCTCCCCCCCCCCCCCTATATTTTCCTACCTTTTGATCTTCAGAAGAGCACTGCAGTGTAACTGGAATGTTTGATGGGCAGCGTAATACACAGTTTTCTATTCCTACACATGCATAGTGGATGCTGTTTCATGGGTGACTTGACCCTCCACTTTCTCACATGCTGTTCTTGAGCACATATTCCCTACCTCTTAATTTTCTTGGTTCTGGTAATCTTGAACCTGTGATCCAACTGAAAATGAAACCCAGAGGTGGGGGCAGGGGAAGAAATCTGCTGAATCAGCAAGTAGGATTTTTCTGACTCAGGTTACACTTAAGCTATTTTAAACCGAAAGAGAAAAAGTTAAAAGAAAAGGTGGTGATATTTGTGTGTAACCTTTAATCTGTTTAGTCAATATTGATGAGATCTTTAAAATAATGAGATTACATGTTTATATTTTGCTGACCTGTGTTAGAAGTGTTAAATTGTAACTATTCTTTTTCTTTAAAGTTTCACTTAAATATTTTAGTATTTCTTTCCTACTCTTTTTTGTTGTTGTTGTTGTTGTTGTTGTTCCTTGTGTTACTCTGACATAAAAATAAAGGTACTACTTAAGCAGAGAACGTGGAAAATATCTATAATTATTAAACAATTCATGTAAATTTTACAGGTAGATAGAATTAGATGTGATGTTAAGGACCATTTTAATGGTAATTTTGTCTTCCCTTAACAGTGGAAATGGTGGCTCATCTACATCACTGAAGGATCCACTTGAAATCCTAGAAGGCATTGTTTCTGCAGTGCATGAAGGTGTTGAAAAAGGGTAAGAACTTCCTGTATGTATTCTTTGGTTAAGACTTTGAAAGATACTTCTTATGAAAGCATTGAAGGTATGATACTGAATATGGATGATTTTTCTTTATGGCTATATATAATGTGTTTACACTTAATTGTCTAAGACTTTTCTGGAACAGGCTATCATTTATCAGGTTCAAAATCAGAGCTTGACAGAAGCTTTTACTTGATCACTTGGAAAAAGTAAGTCACTGAACCTAAAATTTGGATAACTGTATTATGGTGATTTGAGAAAAATACTTTTTCTGCTGTGACTACTTCAGATAGTATATCTATCAGCAGTACTTAATTGCTTTTGTTTGTTTAGTAGTTAAATTACAAACAATAATGACTCCCTTTCAGATATCTGAATTTAGATATCTAAGTTTGCTGATATTTGTAGGGTATAATGCAGAAACAATTTCATAAATGCTGTATGATGCTTCATCACCTTTTTTTTCCCCATCTTTTTGGGTCACATAATGGTCTGTATGTTTTGTTGATACTTTCCAGTGCATTTCTAGTAAAGATAAAGAAGCAAAAAAAAAAAAGGTTTTCTTTGCAGACATACGAACTGAGAACTCATTTATGATAATAATAATAAAACCCCATACTCTCTGGTAGCCACACAAAACCAATTACACTGTTGTGTGGGATCTTCTCCACTGATGTAAAATTAGTTAAATATTGGATACTGAAGCAGACTGAATTAATGTCAATCCTACAGTAAACCTTATTTTCAGTATTCTAAGGTAAAATGGGAGAGTTGACACTATTTTATTCTGAGATGCACTTTCTTGAGTGTTTTATTTGTATATTTCATCAACGTTTAACTGCTGAAACAATAAGCCGGAGTGAAAGTCATTGTGATTACAAGAGATTGTTTACATTCATTTAAATATTTCTTCTTATTTATCGCCTTAAACCTCAGGTATTTGATTTACAAAATATAAATTTTTCCTTCAGGAAAATATATGTAAACATCAAGTGTGAGCTTTGCAAAACTCTTGAAATATTCCAGCAGGTCCTCTTAATTCCCAAACTTTTAATTTACAGTTTGAATGCCACCTGTTTAGCAGAGGCGTGTCTAATTTATCTGGAGTTCTGAGCTAACAGCATCATTCAGACAATATAAAGCCTAAGTAAAATTGAAATACTTGTAATATGAAAACCTAAGCTGTCAATGTTTATTATTTCAGAGCTGCAAGACAGGTTAAATTGGTGTTTTCTGTGTGATATTACTTTCCCATCTGTCTTGTTAAGACAAATAAGGGAACATTAGTTATAAATCACACTCCACCTGGAACCACTTACTTGATATTTTAAAAAAACCCAAAACATTACCTTTAGTTCAAAATACTACTGAAAGATAGAATAGCATTTGCTGATGTGTTACATGCTTGTTTGTAGTTTCTAAGGGACATAACAGATTATTCTGTCTGCAACTGCTTGTGGTTGGTGGGTTTGTGGTAATATGTGTGCTGTAAATGCTTTCACACAGTTAGAATGTATTAGATATAATTTGATTCAAAAACTTTATTATTTAATTCAGAGTTTTGCTAAATAGCTGTCAGAAACTCCCAAAAACTTAGGGTGTTTTAACATCTCTTTTTTTTTTTCTTTCTAGGGTTTATGGGCATTATACAGTAATTATCAAACTAGAATATCCAATAATCAAGCTGACTAGAAATGGTACAGGAAAAAATAAGAAATGGCTAGAGCTACAATCAGGAGAAACTAATTTGTGTATGTGGAGTGTAAAGAAGTGATTTGTAAGGAAAGAGAATATAGGGCATTATGAATAAGCATCAGCTATAAAGATGGCATACTTAAAATCCAAGCAGTCAGGCTGCTTTTCCATAAAGTCAGATGGTGTGAAAGTATCAGTCAGGACCAAGCGCCATGAAAAGGTTTGGATTTTCAGGTGCTGGAATCCAGCACTGTTACTATACAATTGTCAGTCAAGTTGTATGCAGGAGAATATGTAACTGTGTAGATGGATTTCTATGGTATTATATGCTGCTTTGAAGATCAGAAAAGTTCTTACAGCACTTAGCTTTAGGCACCTAATTTAGAAGGGCTAGTTTCTCTGCAGTCTCACAGAGGTGAGCTCTTCCATTTCCAGTATTTGTTATGTATTGAATGTACTTGTTAACAGCGTTGAAAATACATGTAGTACTTTCATTAGGATTACCAGAGACTGACACACTATTGTTTAATTCCAGGGAGAAAGTAGTTTCTTCAGATGACCTTCTGGAGTGGTTGAGACCTTTCTGTGGTGACAACTCTTTAGCAGTGAAGCCTCGCATCAGAGTATTGCAAATTCTGGAGCAAGCCTTCCATCTCAGTGATGAGGATAGTAAGCTACTTGTGTACTTCAGGACAGAAGCTGTTCTCAGAGCTTGCTGGCCTGAAACAAAGGTATTGATGGCTATAAATGATAGCATAAGACTTTTTTTATGCAAGGATTATATGATGAAATGCTGGTTTGCAATATATAGTTGCGATGCATCCTGATGGTATGGGAGCTAATCCTACCTTCCTTTTGAATCAAGTTTCTAATACATTATGATTCTTTGAAAAACAAAGCTATGTGAAGTTAATCAACTCCTCAGCTTTTCCTTGGGATCAGGAGTACATAGTACTGAACTAGATTAAACACAGTTTTCCTCCATGTCAAGCATTAACTTTGGAGGGTTTTGTATATTCTTTCTTTTCTGACTGTTTTTTCTGTCAATTTTACCTTCGCTCTTTATCTCCTACTTGGTGTGACATTATAGTCAGAATTAGAATGAGAATTACTGGCTGTTGTCTCTTTTTTCTGGGATCTCTAAATATTATTCCATGAATGTGCAGTAGGAACATTAAGGGCATTCTCAAATGGAAAGACTTGGTTGATAGGGAATGCATTTGGTCATAGTCAGATATTGTCTCTTAAGAGGCAGCACCTCAAAACTGAGAGAGTAGTTGCTTAAAAACAGTTCATGCCTTTAACTGCCCAAGTGATAGTTAAGTCTTTTTCAGTGTAAAGTCAGGAAAAAAATAAGGTGAAATCATCGGTGAAAGAAGTTATTCTTAGGTATTTGTTTCCAACTAAGAAAGAACATTTCTAGTTCAAGTTTTCAAGTCTAAAACAGATTACCTTTCTTTTCTCACCAAAGGGTGACAAAATGCCTAACTTTCATTTAAGTATATGTAGAAGTTGATCTAAGACTAGGAGTGAAAACGCTCGTGTTTGTCAAATAGAATATTAAAAATTCCATATATGCAAAAAGACTCTTGTCGGTTATTCATTAATATTTTAACTGCTGTATTTCATGACTCATTTTGATTAAGTGCTTAATACCAGTGTACATATTCTTAGAGGTTCTACATTTCTAAGTACAATGGAAATATTCTAAATCTTAACAGGAAGAAGTAGTCTTGTCTTTGAAGCTTTTGCCATTTTGAAATCATGTGTATCACTTGCTGCATGTAGAATTGTTCAGAAGCAGAGTTGCTTTTTGTCCATTTTCTAAATACCTCCCCCCTATGACAAGACATTATGGAACTAAAACATAATATTTCTAATAGTTCCTCAAAAAGTCTATGCACAAAACCATTTTATATTCATAACAATATTAATATAAAACAATAGCTTAGTAGTTTTAACTCACTGTGCTGAGATCATCCAAGGGAATAATCCTAATAAAAATCTTAAAAGAAAATGCTTATCTCTTGCTTGCTTTAGAAATTGCTTTTTCTCTTGCATTCACAGTAATACCAGCACTTAACTCCTCATCTGCTTTTCAGCTGTTTGTCTATGATTGGATTCTTCATCTTCGTTTTTTTTGTCAATATTTGTGTTGCCAAACATTTCAAGTCTAAAAGATTCAACTAGAGTATGTTTTAAGAAAAAAAAATACGGGTAGATAATAGTTTTCAGCCATGTCTGTAGAAGACAGAAAAAGAACCTGTATTTGACAGAAACCTTGTGAGACTCATTACACTTGTTAGAGAAATACAGAAGAAAAGCTCGCTTCTCTTGTCTGCCATAAACTGGTACGTCAGAATGCATATAACTTTAAAACATAAAACTCTTATCTATTTGCTTTTTCTTGTGATGTTTTAGGAATTAATTGAAAGCACTGCATGTGCTGGTAGCTCACGCGTCGCTCACTGCTGGCCAGGACCTGCAAGGCCTCTTGGGCAGAGCTACTCCCCAGCCTGGCTGTCCCCACCTGTGCTCTCTCAGGCACCGCATGGCTCTTACACATCATGCAGCTCTTGTTGGCCCAGTTGTTCAGCCTGTTTAGGTCTCCATATAATCAGTTAATAATTTCTGTTTCCTAAAGAGAGGGGTTTTTAGAATACTTCTGGCTTCAAGCAGGAAAACATATCTGTTTTTTGTGAGGGAAGAAGTTCTCACTGACTATAAGCAGCAGTCCATTTGCTCATAACCAAGTTGCTGATCACTTCAGTGCTCTACTCTTTTGCTGATGAGTAATCAAGTAGTGCAAGAAGTCAAGTA